GAAAAATCTTTTTTATTTTTTATTTTTATTTTTTTTTTTTTTTTTTTTTTTTTTTAATTTTTAAGATAAGAAATAAAAACAAATTAAGATAAAATGAAATATGAAAGTGCTAAAGGGGTATATTCAGAATCGAACTCGTCCCGAAGGTTGCATTGCATGAGCAGTATATAGCTGAAAAAGCTGTAGAGTTTTGTACCGAGCATTTATATGATATTAGTACAGTTGGAGTGCCTTCAAGCTAGAAGATGGGACTTTCAAAGCCATTATCGGGTTGCACAGTGAGCTTAGTTGATTTGGACTTGTTGAACCAGGCACATCTATATGTCTTGGAGAATACAGAGGAAGTCCAACCTTATATCAAGTACGTATGAGTTTAATTTTTCATATGTAGCCATTTTAAATATTATTACTCCTTATGTTTATCTTATATACAAGGGACCATAATGCTTGATTTTTTCATGTCAATTGTAGGGAACATATGATCCATGTTAAGACCACTTATCCAAAATTTAGAAATAGAACAAAGTAGCTACAAGATAAGCACAATAGCACTTTTATTCAATGGCTACGCTTTAAGTTATATATGTTATTGAATGACATATTGAACTTTTAATTTTCTTTCTTTCTATATGTTAGATTGAATTAAGATATATGTTTAATTTGCAGGTTCAAAGTGAACTTAATGGGAAAGACAATAATGGCGTATCAGAAAATTTGAGGTGGCTAGCAGCTGGTCCAAGCATGGCAATGCCATCATATAGGAGCTATCTTATTAATGGTGTCAAATTTAACACCAACGCCAATGCAAAAATTAAATAAAAACCACCATTTGAAAAAGAAAACACGTCGGTTAATTAAAATTAATTTAAACACGGCTAATAAATATTACCAACAACGACGGTAATGAAAATGATTCACGACGTACACTAAAGAATAACACGACGGAATACAGCTCAAACCGACGAATTTAAGGATAATACTACTTCCACCGATTGATAATTACCGTCGTCAAAACAATGTTGCACTTCAGTTATAATAAAACAATTGACGTCTCAGAGAATACACATGTCAAAAGGGGTTATAAAAGGGACTTATCAAAGACTAACCACATCTTGGAATAAACAAACTACCGACGTAGTCAGTTGTATAACAACGTCGAAGAATTCGATTCTTGGGACATAGTAAAGTTCTTAACCACGACCTGTATTTTACAATAACCGACGTCAAATCCATAATTCAAGGCGTTTCCTTTCTTCTTAACAACGGTTAGGCTAAAAGCAATGACGTCTCAGAGATTACACACGTCCAAGAGGCTTATAAAAGAGACTTTTAAAATGCCAACCACTTCAAGGCCTATAAAAACCGACGTTGTAAATAATTAACCAAGTCGCAAAATGGGACTCTTAGGCCATAGTAAATGGATTAACCATGACAGATATTTTACATTAACCGACGTTCAAGATTAAATCCACGTCGTTTATTTCTCTGTTCACGCCGTCAAAATCATTTTCAACGTCTATGGTGACCAAAAGGGTCGTGGTTATGGATTTTTTACGTCGATGTAAGTAAATATGTGCCATGTTAAATTTTTCAAACATTAGTTTTTTTAACAAAAGCAACGTCTAACCTTATCCAAAAGTATACTTTTGTATGTTAAATTTGCCATGTTATATGTTTTAGACGTCAGTTTTATTATTTAGTAAAAGTAGTATATGTTAACCACGACGGTTTCTACTTTTTACACGTTGGTATTCTTTCAATTAGATATGTGGATAATCTTTTTGGTTGTTCTTGACATTTAACATTCTTTAAACGTCTGTGTTTTACTAAAATCGTCGTCCAATATAGTCGAAGTTTTCTTTTAAAGATATTTATGGATGAATTAGACGTCGATTTTAATGGTTTTATGACGTGTAATGACTTAACAACGTCGGTTATTTGCCGTCGTTATTTTATGTATTAAAAGATGGCGGTCAATTTCAAGTCAGTTTGAAAACATGCTACACGACGGTGGATTCCCGTCGTCCATTTCAACTTTTGTATTAGTGGAACTTTAATTGTCCAATTTCTTACACCTATTAATTTCGGATCGAGCCCAAACCTTGGCCAACATCATAATATGGTGGGAGGTGTCATTCAGTGAGTTTTCAGTGATATCCAATTGCTAAAACTACGCAACACACCAACCACTCCATTTGAGGAACAAACTGCATTTGAACTTGGATTGTCCAATTTCTTACACTTATTGATTTCGGATCGAGCCCAAAACTTGGGCAACAACATAATATGGTGGGAGGAGTCATTTGGTGAGTTTTGAGTGAAATCCAATAGCTAAAGTATGCAAAACACTAACCACTCCATTTACGGAATGAACTTCGTACGAACTTGAATTATCCAATTTCTTACACCTATTGATTTCGGATCAAGCCCAAAACTTGGCCAACATCATAAAATGGTGGGAGGTATCATTCGGTGAGTTTTGAGTAAAATCCAATTGCAAAAACTATGCAATACACCAATCATTCCATTTAAGGAACAAACTGCGTTTGAACTTCAATTGTAAAATTTCTTACACCTACTAATTTTGAATCGCGCCCAAAACTTGGGCAACATCATAATATGGTGGGAGAAGTCATTTGGTGAGTTTTGAGTGAAATCCAATTGCTAAAAGTATGTACTACACTAACCACTTCATTTAAGGAACGAACTTCGTACGAAATTGAATTGTCCAATTTCTTACACCTATTCATTTCGGATTGAGCCCAAAACTGTGCCAACATCATAAAATGTGGGAGGCGTCATTCGGTGAGTTTTGAGTGAAATCCAATTGCAAAAACTACGCAATACACCAACCACTCCATTTAAGGAACAAACTACGTCTAAACTTGAATTGTCCAAGTTCTTACTCCTATTGATTTCGAATCGCACCCAAAACTTGGGCAACATCATAATATGGTGGGAGGAGTCATTTGGTGAGTTTTGAGTGAAATCCAATTGCTAAAAGTTTGCAATACGCTAACCACTCCATTTGGGGAACGAACTTCGTATGAACTTGAATTGTCCAATTTCTTATACCAATTAATTTCGAATTGAGCCCAAAACTTGGCCAACAACATAATATGGTGGGAGGTGTCATTCGGTGAGTTTTGAGTGAAATCCAATTGATAAAACTACGCAATACACCAACCACTCCATTAAAGTAACGAACTTCGTACGAAATTGAATTGTCCAATTTCTTATACCTATTGATTTCGAATCGAGCCCAAACCTTGGGCAATGTCATAATATGGTGGGAGGAGTCATTCGGTGAGTTTTGAGTGAAATCCAATTGCTAAAAGTATGCAATACACCAACCACTTCATTTAAGGAACGAACTTCGTACGAACTTGAATTGTCTAATTTCTTACACCTATTGATTTCGGATCGAGCCCGAAACTTGGGCAACATCATAATATGGTGGGAGGAGTCATTCGGTGAGTTTTGAGTGAAATCCAATTGCTAAAAGTCTGAAATACACCAATAACTCCATTCACGGAACGAACTTCGTACGAACTTGAATTGTCCAATTTCTTACACCTATTGATTTCGGATCAAGCCCAAAACTTGGCCAACATCATAACATGGTGAAAGGTGTCATTCGGTGAGTTTTGAGTGAAATCCAATTGCAAAAACTATGCAATACCCCAACCGTTCAATTTAACGAACAAACTGCGTTTGAACTTGAATTGTAAAATTTCTTACACCGATTGATTTCGAAACGCGCCCAAAACTTGGGCAACATCATAATATAGTGGGAGGAGTCATTTGGTGAGTTTTGAGTGAAATCCAATTGCTAAAAGTATGCAATACACTAACCACTCCATTTACGGAACGAACTTCGTACGAACTTGAATTGTCCAATTTCTTACACCTATTGATTTCATATCGAGCCCAAAAGTTGGGCAACATCATATTATGGTGGGAGGAGTCATTTGGTGACTTTTGAGTGAAATCCAATTGCTAAAAGTATGCAATACACTAACAACTCCATTTGTGGAACGAACTTTTTACGAACTTGAATTGTCCAATTGCACAAACCTATTGATTTCGAATCGAGCCCAAAACTTGGCCAACATCGTAATATGGTGGAAGGTGTCTTTGGGTGAGTTTTGAGTGAAATCCAATCGCTAAAACTACGCAATACTATGACCACTCCATTAACGTAACGAACTTCGTACGAACTTGAATTGTCCAATTTCATAAACTCATTGATTTCGAATCGAGTCCAAAACTTGGCCAACAACTTAATACTATGCCAAAAAAGGGCTTTAGTAACGGATAAAATAAAATCTGTTGCCTATTACACATAAATAGCGTGGTATTCAAGCCTGTTGCCTATTACCATGTAATAGGCCACAGATATTCTCCGTCGCTATTTGTCTCTTACTACATCGGATATTTGGTAAACTCTGATGCATAAATGATTTCCGGGTGCCAAAAAAAGGTTGACTTCTGATGCCTAAACCCGAAACAGCATCAGTAGTTTCAAAAGGGATGAGGCTAAAGAGGTCTAACAGCATCAGTGACATCTACTATGCTGATGCGTATTATCAATTACAACATCGTATAAACAAATAATGGCGTTGTGAATTATGTTATACATCATCGCTTTTTTTATTTTGCAGACGTTAAAAGCCTCCAATAGTGCTGGCGAGTACATAAATGTTGATGCTGCTTCTCGTTTTAGGCATCAGTGATAATAGATGTCTGGTTGTTTTTATCTTTCAACTTCAATTATTTCTGGAAAACTGAAGTTGTTATAAACAATAGGCATCACTTATGTAAGGAAATGGTAGGTATTTTGCTTGTTTCACATCACACTTTACTTAATTACTGTGTTAGTATTTAAGAAAGGCCTCATTTCCAAATCATGTTGTGTTGCCATTGTTCATAAAAAAAAAACATTATATAAACAATAATTTAAATATATCCATAATTGTCTATATATATATATATGTATGTATATAAGCAAAATACTTGAATGATCCATACTTGTCACATCCAAATCACAATTTTACCAGCCCTACACCACAAATTATCCATACTTGTCTATGCATAAGCAAAATACTAGCTAGAAAGACATGTAAAATGAAGGAATGTTTAGCTCAACCAAAAAGCCATTCTAGGACATGAGTTGCCAATTCTTCTCGCACCTCATCCAATTCCATTTGGGTGTACGTGTCCTTCCTTCTAGCTCCATACTGGAAAAAAAAAACACATAGAATGTAAGCACAAAATATGAACATGAGCTTAAAAAGTGCAAGGTACTAAATTTGCATAAGATATGTTGTCACTTCAAATGAACCAATATGCAAATTTACGAAATCATATTGGTGAACAAGAAAATCTAATTTGTCAATCAAACTAATTAGATAACAAGAAGTCATTAATTGGATCCCACTTCATGTTTAAACTACCCATCTCAACGCTTTCCTACCCACTGTCTGTACAAAAATAAAACATCAATAGGCTTTAACAAATACCATTCCAATATCTCAAATTCTATTATCTATATTTCCTACATTTGCATAACCAAAATTTCATATTGGTGTAAGTGTTAGAATATGAAATACAATTGTGATCAATTACTGCAGCCACGACAACGGATACAATTGTATGTGCTAGAACCTGAATTTTTTATCTTAAAGAGTTAGAACAAAAAGGAGAAGTGGTGTAAGAACAAAATGGTTAACATATCAAGAAACAAATATTAGAGCACAATAGAAAAATAAATTAACCAATTACAGGGGAGTCGAGCAAAAATAGCAAAAATCGTGTTCAAGCCTCTTTTAACAGAAGGTATGGGACAATAAAATTACAGTGGACTATAAGTCTTCTAGTACCTGTTCTCCATTTATGTCAGTGCCTTTGTCATTTCCAATCAAATCAACTCATAACAATCAAGTAGGATTATAGTTTATGTAACATTGCAACATGCAATGTCAAATATTGGGTCATAACAATCAAGCAGAAATTAAGAACTGGAAACAAATTGCTGGAATCATAATGGGCCAAAATTTGAACATAACTGGAAAACTTAAAATCCAAAAATGAAAGCCTATCGTAAATAACATACCGCACGATGGGATCCTTGCGCATGTTGGAATTCCTTGTAAAGGTTACAGCTTCCTTCACTGGAGGGAATGATAATACCACATAACTCTGTGACCTAAAGCAGCTTACAAATAACTCTGACCTAAAGCAGCTTACAAACCAACCTCAAATTCATATTGCAAACTTTGCTTCCAAAACCCATAAAGGAGGACTGAAACCAACACCAACATCAAAAGCATTACAAATTAATACTCTGTGACCTAAAGCAGTATATCCTAGTAAATTTTTTTAATAGCAATATATCCAAATAATGAACAAATAATTTAACAATTTTCTCAATTCTTCAAGTTTGCCATATTGTTGTTACGCATCAACATTTATAACAGACAACTTTTTTGCTGCAACTAAAGCCTCTTCTTTGTTTAGAACAATTATTGTACAATAATGAAGGAATAACAGGTTGAAGTTCCAAAAGAAGTTAAAACAAAATAAAAGATACCATCTTGCTTGTTATAAAGCCCCCCAAGCACATGATTCCCACGACAATCTAAGGTCATGACAACCTGCATGTTATTCAGTTAAAAATGTCATTCAAAGGAAAACAAGAAGAAACAATGTGAAGAGTAACACCTGCAGAAAAAGCTTTAAGAATTGAGTGAAACAACACAGAAAAATGAAATAAAACATATTTGGAAAGAATTTTTGTAGCTTCAGTTTCATTTCCTAACGAAGAATGCAAATGACACAACCAATAGTTTTGATACCAGTAAACATGGGAAAGGAACAAAATAATCATAAAATTTCGGGATACAGTTGGTGACCAGATGGTTGAGAAACTCCTAAGAGGCTAGATAAAGTGAAGGGAGAGGGAGAGAAACATCAAAGTCGTTATAAATATATGGAACTATTACGTGAAAGAAAATTGTGAACCAATGAGCTAATTATAACCAAATTTCAGTACTTACTGAGCCTTCAGCGATATCGATGCCAACATAATATCCAATTTTGGCCTTGTCCCATTTGATGAGATCACGCCCCTAGCCAAAAAGAAAAAATATATATATTAAAAAGAGAATATTAGTGGAAGGAAGGGGAAAAAGGAAGATGTAATGGACTACCAATACCTTGCCACATGCAAGATCAAGTACAGCATCTCCTCTGCGAGCATAGAGTTGAATTAAGACACTCTTAATCTGCTCAATATGAGAAGGAACTATAAGCAATTGGAAAAATATGGAGTGTGATTATACCATTATGGAGTATCTACGAGATTAAAGGACATACCCAATTGTTAAGCTTTTTTAAATGGATGATTGGACGAGCTTCTCGTTCTTCCAGCATTTGATTCGTCCTTGCACTGTAATGATTTGCCACTTTACGTGCAAAAAAATTTGTGCTTTCATCCTCCAAGAATTGTGAATCACCTAAGGCCACATTGTAAGAAACTCTGATTAATTAAAAAAGAACAACCTAACACCATAGTTGCGTTCAATATCACTGCAAGTTTTGTACGGAAGAGCAAAAAAGATTTCAATATTGAAATTTTCATTATGTAGTGATTGAAAAGAGTAAAAAGTAGCAAAATCAAAATTTAGTTATGTTCACCTTCTCTCAGTTTCCACTGTTATAAACCAAATACGTTAGTTGGGGAACTAAGAATCCCAGGTTCGAATTAAACAGCTGCACTAATCAGGAACACAACAAATATTGAATGAATTACCAATCGAAAACACAAAATAGAAAAAGAGTTCAGACTTTGATGTTTCTCTCCCTCTCCCTTCACTTTATCTCTCTCAAATAAACTGTATCCATATATGATATGAATAACTCTGTAATATTTTGGAATACATAACAGAATCATTATTAATATAACCTTTTCCAAATTGAAGAAAATGTAATCCGCAGCTGTTTGCTTACAAAGTCAACACTTTGGTTAATGTAGTTGATTCGATAGAATTCCTCAACACCATCGCTCCGGTCACTGTTAACATCATAATCCCTGCATTTTGATGAATAAACTTCACATCAGTAGTAATAATGATGATATATAATATAAAGGAAAAGGGAATATGACATTTTTTGAGCTTCTTTGGAAACAGAAAGGAAAGGCAAAATGTACATTAAAATGTTTCATGATCATAATTGAATGCAGCCTAGAATATGGCAAGAACAGAAGGGACCTGAAAGTGTGGCCAAATGCGTTTGTTGGAGGCACCACAAATCCACCATCCAACATCAATTCATTCTCCTCACCAGCCTGATCATAGACCTTCTTTTCTTCCACCTCAACCGCTGCTAATTAAAATGAATTCAATGTCGAACAAGAAAACAAAAAAATGTAATGCGGCGAAAACCCAAAAAATAAAAAGTAAAACTTTACCAAAGTCAGGCTGCTCAACATGGCATACCGCTATAGTATTGACAGTAGAAAGTCCAAGATCATTTTGGCAGTGAGTCAAAATGATAACATTCTCAATTCCAGGGGTATTAGATTTTATGCCAGAAATCAACTGACTATATTCACTTGGCATTTTATAACCCACAGTGTCAGGAATGTTCAGAGTTGTTGCTCCAGCCTTTATAACTTCACACAAATTCTGATACAAAAATTCCCTATTGGATCTGGAAGGGTTTGGGCCAAGAAAACAAGACATTTATTATTAAAAACACAAGAAATTGAAATGCATTAAATAGAAATCGATAATTGAAAGGACTGAAAGAAGTTTACGATTCATGATATGGACAAATAGGCTCAAATAGCAAGTCACAATAAAAAATATACATCAAATTAATAATAAGATATCCATAACGATGATGACAAAGAGCTCAGTAAACTGAAGCATAGATCTATCAAGATTAACAGAGAAATAAACGAAAAAGATCGGAGATTAAAGCACGATGAAGACCTAACCAGGAAGCGGCGTCATAGAGGCTGATTAAGAATCTTCTGAGCGTCCATAGGTGTAGAAAATCAAACTTGAAAACTTCGAAATTAACCCAAAATAATTACAATACCAGCTAGAGCGTGATGAGGAGAGGGATATCCATACCTCACTCATGAAAACAGTGGCCAGAGTCGCTGGAAATAGCGTCTGAAACTCAAAAACCTCTCGGAGCTTTTGAAGCTCACCGCGGCTCAGGGAGGGGCAAGGGTGGCTGGGCTTTAGGCCTGACGAAAGCGCCCACCTCGTCCAGAGCGTCTGAGAGTCTGAGAGAGAATGAGGCAGTGATGGAGGAGAGAGAAGAAAGAGAGAGTTTGAGAGGGACAGAAAAAAAAAATTGAGAGGGAGATGGAAGTTAGGGCGAGAGTTTGAGAGGGACAGAAAAAAAAAATTGAGAGGGAGAGGGGAGTGAAAAAATTGAGAGGGAGATGGAAGTTAGGGCGAGAGTTTGAGAGGGACTGAAAAAATTGAGAGGGAGATGGAGACTAGGGTGAGAGTTTGAGAGAGAGCGTGAAAATTTTTGGAGCAGCGTTGACTACACTTTAGGCATCAGCGGCTTTTTTTTAAAAAACTGTCCCTCATTAAAAAAAAAAATTTACAAAAAGCCAAATCACTTTAGGCATATGTGATTAAAAGAGATGATGCTAAGAGCAAGTCCACCCCAAAGGGCTAAGGCAAGGGCTAAGGCAAGGCAAGGGCTGCCACTATTCACGTGAATAGTGGCAGCCTTGCATTTTTTGGTTCCACCCCAAAAGGCTAGGGCAAGGGCAAATACTATTCATTGTACTTTATTTCCTACTTGTGGGAGATGAAAGGCAATCACAATGGATGAAGTAAAGATTAATGCTTTCTTTTCAAGTTTGCTTTATTTTGTGTGTGGTGTGTTTGAAATTATGTTTTGTTTTTAATTATGTTTTATTTTGTGTGTGGTGTGTTTGGAATTATGCTTTGTTTTGTGTGTTGTTTGCAATAAAATAACGTTTGTTTTTAATTAAACTTTGTTTTCATTTGCAAATATTTATAATAAATATTCATATTATTTAATGCTTTCTTTATTGAATAAAAGGGAAACAATACAACAATTCTTCATACATACGGAAGGAGAAGAGTTTATATGAAAATTGGTGTGGAAAGTGAATGAAATTGATAGGTATTTATAGAGAAAAAATCCAGAATTTTTTAGTTTTTTTTTTATTTTTTTTAACCCAAAAAAAAATTTGATTTGCTTCGCTGACGTCAGCATGACGTCAGCGCCTTCGGGCTGAAGCCCAGTCAAGATCTGCCCTTGGGCTTGCCCGGGCTGGTGGTACCCAGGGCTTGCCCGGGCTGCTTTTCCTGCGCTGGAGGTCCATTTCCTGCTGGGGGGGCCTGTTGCCCTGGCAAAAGGGCATGCGGTGGACTTGCTCTAAAGGGGAATCAAAGACAGCATCATTATTGAGGCCCAAAAATATTCCTAGCTCAATGCGATCCTTTCTTGAGAAAAAACCCGATTGAAGCACATAAAAGTTCGTCATATGCGCTTACACATGTAGGGGTGGACATCAATCCGGCCGAACTGATGAAACTGACCGAACTGAACCATAATTACCGGTTTGGTTTGGTTTTGACCAAGAAAAAGTCAAACGGTTTAAAAACCAAACCAGATCGTATATAGTTTGGTTTGGTTTGGTTTTGAGCTTTTGTAAACCGGCTTAAACCAAACCGGGCCGTTTATGTATATATATATATATATATATATATATATTATTTTACATGTGTAATACTCTAATTAATTAATAACTATATATGAATATTTGAATTGAGCTATATTAGTTAGTGAAATATGAAGTTTTATGACATTTTGAGCTTTAGGATGGTTTCGTACTCTAGAAAATGATTTATGTATGAAGCAAGTTGTGAATTTTTTGGTTATAATTGGGCTAACAATGTTGAAAAAATGCAAAAAGAAATAGAATTGGGCTTAGGCCCAAACCGGCCGAACCAAACCGAACCAATCCGTCTTAAATTGGTTTGGTTTGGTTCGGTTTCCTTTATTACTTTTATCCAAACCGAACCAAACCAAACCGTCATATTGTAATTCGTTCAGCCGTGGTTTTGAGGTGAAATCGATCCAATCCGGATCGTGCCCACCCCTATACACACGTGCCACACCAAGCAAACAAGCAACTATAAGCTTAAGTGGGCCCAAGCCATGTAATTACCCGGGGCTTGCTGAGAAGGTTGTAGTATGGACGGGTACGAGCACTCACAGGGCCCATTGAGGGTTCAAGGAATGGAAAGTTTTAGGCCACTTGGGAGCACTAAAACTCAAGCCCATTCCTCGGGCCCAAATACATGGGTTAGCATGAGAGAGGGGAAAAAAGTGATCCGAAGCCTTAGGAAAACACCTTATAGTCTGCTGCCACACTTAGACAATCTCACGTTAGTTAAAACACCCAAAATAAAGCAAATAGGCTACTTCCAGCACCTTGACGAAAACATGCAAGCCACTAGAAAGAAAGTACCAATAACCTGATACTTGTGAACAAAGCCCAGCCCAGATCCTTGTTAAAAACCTAGCATCGTATTCCACCCTTGTCAAAGCTCCAGAACCAAGTCAAACAGAGGTCATCGCAAAAACCAACGGAAATCCATAGGACAGGAGGAATACCCATTGGACAAACGACTCCATCCATTCTCTTTTTCCTCTGCGAGCTCTAATTTGAAAACCAAGGAAGAAAGCAGGTGACGCCTCACCCCCATGGGGTGGTCCAGCCGCATAGAAAGCCTTGGAACTCCAAAGAGCCTGTGACCCATGCGCTCTGGTTGAAGAAATTTCACCAAAAGAGAGTGAATGGGAAGAAGCAAAGGAAACATGGGAATGGAGGATCGATAGAATTAGGGTTCTAAGTGCCTATAAAAGGGAGCTTTCTCTACCCAGCAAAACAACCACATTCAGAGAGCAAGCTTCATCTCTCATCCCTGAAACCTCTGCAATTTCGAGCCCCATTCCTCCATCTCTTCCCATTTTTCTGGTAAATCATCCAGAGCGCGACCAAGCTTTGTCAAGCGGCTGGGAATTAACTCAAGACACCCCAGTCTCTATTTTCATCTCTACCTCTCTTCCTTAGTCAAAAATCTCTTCAGATCTCTCTCCCCCTTGCCCTGAATATTTGTTTCCATGAGAAATTCGAGCATTTGTCTCTCTCTTAGATTGCTAAACTTGTGAAGGCTTAGCTCCCATGCCACAAGCTCCTCAAGCCAAGTCATTTCATTGCTAATTTGTCACGTTTATTTGGTTGATTGGTGAAAGAATCCAAGGTGTTTTCTAAGGTTGTCACTACTCCTTTCAAAACTCTCTTGGAGCCCGATCTTTAAACACAGAAACAGGGGCAATCTTCTCCACTCATCCTTTATAGCAACCCAAGCCCATTCGTCTGGCTGCTGGAAGAAAAAGACCCCAACAATCCTAAAAACCCAAAAATTCGTACTTATGTCTTTATACTTGTTTAGTATCACTATTTGCAAAATCGATGCCTAATATACTAATAGCATCGATTTTCCGTTTTATCGATGCCTATATAGTGTTGTTGAAAGTGAAATTTGGCATATGAGTCATTTGGTGAGTTTTGAGTGAAATCCAATTGCTAAAAGTATGCAATACACCAATCATTCCATTTAAGGAACAAACTACGTCTGAACTTGAATTGTCCAAGTTCTTACTCCTATTGATTTTGGATCGAGCCCAAAACTTGGGCAACATCATAATATGGTGGGAGGAGTCATTCGGTGAGTTTTGAGTGAAATCCAATTGCTAAAAGTATGAAATACACCAACCACTCCATTTACGGGACGAACTTCGTACGAACTTGAATTGTCCAATTTCTTAGAACTATTGATATTGGATCGAGCCCAAAACATGGCCAACATCATATTATGGTGGGAGGTGTCATTGGGTGAGTTTTTAGTGAAATCCAATTGCTAAAACTACGCAATACACCAACCACTTCATTTAAGGAACGAACTTCGTACGAACTTGAATTGTCTAATTTCTTACACCTATTGATTTTGGATCGAGCCTGAAACTTGGGCAACATCATAATATGGTGGGAGGAGTCATTCGGTGAGTTTTGAGTGAAATCCAATTGCTAAAAGTCTGAAATACACCAACAACTCCATTCACGGAACGAACTTCGTACGAACTTGAATTGTCCAATTTCTTACACCTATTGATTTCGGATCAAGCCCATAACTTGGCCAACATCAAAATATGGTGGGCGGAGTCATTTGGTGAGTTTTGAGTGAAATCCAATTGCTAAAAGTATGCAATACACTAACCACTCCATTTAAGGAATGAACTTCGTACAAACTTGAATTGTCCAATTTCTTACAGCTATTCATTTCAGATCGAGCCCAAAACTTGGCCAACATCATAAAATGGTGGGACGTGTCATTCGGTAAGTTTAGAGTGAAATCCAATTGCAAAAACTACGCAATACACCAACCACTCCATTTAAGGAACAAACTGCGTTTGAACTTGAATTGTCCAATTTCTTGGACCAATCGATATTGGATTGAGCCCAAAACTTGGGCAACATCATAATATGGTGGGAGGAGTCATATGGTGAGTTTTGAGTGAAATCCAATCCCAAGAACTGTGCAATACACCAACTACTTCGTTACAGAACGAACTTCGTACAAAACTGAATTGTCTAATTTCTTGGACCAATCGATATCGGATGGAGCCCAAATCTTGGGCAACGTCATAATATGGTGGGACGAGTCATTTGGTGAGTTTTGACTAAAATTCAATCGCTAGAACTATGCAATACACCAACCACTCCGTTACAGAACGAACTTCGTACGAATATGAATTGTCCAATTTCTTGGACCAATCGATATTGGATTGAGCCCAAAACTTGGGCAAAACCATAATATGGTGGGAGGAGTCATTTGATGAGTTTAGAGTGAAATCCAATCCCAAGAACTATGCAATACACCAACCACTCCATTACAGAACGAACTTCGTACGAACATGAATTGTCCAATTTCTTGGACCAATCGATATCGGATTGAGCCCAAAACTTGGACAACATCATAATGTGGTGGGAGGAGTCATTTGGTGGTTTTTAGTGAAATGCAATTGCTGAAACTTTGCAATTCACCAAGCATTACATTACAGAACGAACTACGTACGAACCTGAATTGTCCAATTTCTTGGACAAATTGATATCGGATGGAGCCCAAAACTTGGGCAACCTCATAATATGGTGGGAGAAGTCATTTGGTGAGTTTTGACGAAAATTCAATCGCTAAAACTATGCAATACACCAACCACTCCATTAT